CTGACTCTGACTCTGACACTGACACTGACTCTGACTCTGACCCTGACTCTGACTCTGACTCTGACTCTGACACTGACACTGACACTGACACTGACTCTGACTCTGACTCTGACCCTGACTCTGACTCTGACTCTGACTCTGACACTGACACTGACACTGACACTGACTCTGACTCTGACACTGACTCTGACACTGACTCTGACACTGACTCTGACCCTGACTCTGACACTGACTCTGACACTGACTCTGACACTGACTCTGACACTGACTCTGACACTGACACTGACTCTGACTCTGACACTGACTCTGACTCTGACACTGACTCTGACACTGACTCTGACACTGACTCTGACTCTGACCCTGACTCTGACTCTGACTCTGACTCTGACCCTGACTCTGACCCTGACTCTGACTCTGACCCACATGGGAAAGTGTACTTAGTTATATAGAAGGCTCTGTGCCTCTTCCTGGTTTGTGACCATATACCTTTCAAACTAATGTGACATCACTTTTTCCTTCTGTGGCTTTTCCAAAATGGCCGCAGGCAGCCCCTCCCTCAGGAAAAGGTGGAAAAACACACAAGTCCACAGCGACTAAACTAGACTGGTCCAAAACATACATTCCCTTCAGACAGCATCTGGAACCAAGAGGACCAAGAACCACTTTTGGACCAAGAACCACTTTTGGACCAAGAACCACTTTGGACCAAGAACCACTTTGGACCAAGAACCACTTTGGACCAAGAACCACTTTGGACCATCCTGTAAAGACGTTTTCCAGAGGAAAGAAGGCCTCCTACAGAAGCATTGGGTAATTCTAATTCCAGGTACACCCCCACAGAGTGAGATTGCAGCAGGACAGTGCACGTGCTCATGGACCTTTTGGAGTCGGGACCCGCCCACACTGTTTGTGATCTAGCGCAAGCACTTCCTGTTCCGTTTTCTTCTTCTGCGTGAGAGGGTGTTGTACCTCTGTGATCGTGCAAACAGGAAGTACCTGCGCTAAGACAGGAACCAGGAAGTGGGTGGGACGCTAGGACACAGCGCCTCCTACAGGACAGAGACAGGAGCGTGTGTCTGTGTGTCTCTGTATGTGTGTGTCTGTATCCGTGTGTGTGTGTCTGTGTATCCATGTGTGTCTATCTCTGTGTGTGTGTGTGTGACTGTGTGTCTCTGTATGTGTGTGTCTGTATCCGTATGCGTGTGTCTGTGTATCCATGTGTGTCTATCTGTGTGTGTGTGTGACTGTGTGTCTCCTTATGTGTGTGTTTGTGTATCCGTGTGTGTGTGACTGTGTGTCTCCTTATGTGTGTGTCTGTGTATCCGTGTGTGTGTGCGTGTGTCTGTGTATCGGTGTGTGTCTATCTGTGTGTGTGTGACTGTGTGTCTCCCAATGTGTGTGTCTGTGTATCCGTGTGTGTGTGTGTGTGTGTCTGTGTATCCTTGTGTGTTTATCTCTGTGTGTGTGTCTGTGTATCCTTGTGTGTTTATCTCTGTGTGTGTGTCTGTGTATCCTTGTGTGTTTATCTGTGTGTGTGTGTGTGTCTGTGTATCCTTGTGTGTTTATCTGTGTGTGTGTGTCTGTGTGTGTGTCTGTGTATCCTTGTGTGTTTATCTGTGTGTGTGTGTGTGTGCTTGTCTGTGTATCCATGTGTGTCTATGTGTGTGTGTGTGTGTGTTTTTAAATGTGTGTATCAAGTCCAGCAGCAGAGAGAGTTGGAGCTGGTCCTGGAGTTTGTCCTTGAGGCTGAAATGTAGAGTATCATGTTCAGAGCAGATACACACACTACACACACACTACACAACACACAATTACACTACACACAATTATACACACAATTACACTACACACAATTACACTACACACAATTACACTACACACAATTACACTACACACAATTACACTACACACAATTACACTACACACAATTACACTACACGCAATTACACAACACACAATTATACACACAATTACACTACACTACACACAATTACACTACACACAATTACACTACACTACACACAATTACACTACACACAATTACACTACACACAATTACACTACACACAATTACACTACACACAATTACACTACACTACACACAATTACACTACACACAATTATACACGCAATTACACAACACGCAATTACACTACACACAATTACACAACACGCAATTACACTACACACAATTACACAACACACAATTACACTACACGCTATTATACACGCAATTACACAACACGCAATTACACTACACACAATTACACTACACGCAATTATACACACAATTACACTACACACAATTACACTACACACAATTACACTACACACAATTACACTACACACAATTATACACGCAATTACACAACACGCAATTACACTACACACAATTACACAACACGCAATTACACTACACACAATTACACAACACACAATTACACTACACGCAATTATACACGCAATTACACAACACGCAATTACACTACACACAATTACACTACACGCAATTATACACACAATTACACTACACACAATTACACTACACAACACGCAATTATACTACACACAATTACACTACACGCAATTACACTACACACAATTATACTACACGCAATTACACTACACGCAATTACACTACACACAATTACACTACACACAATTACACAACACGCAATTATACTACACACAATTACACTACACGCAATTACACTACACACAATTATACACACAATTACACTACACACAATTACACTACACACAATTACACTACACACAATTACACTACACACAATTATACACACAATTACACTACACGCAATTACACAACACACAATTATACACACAATTACACTACACTACACACAATTACACTACACTACACACAATTACACTACACACATTTACACTACACACAATTACACTACACACAATTACACTACACTACACACAATTACACTACACACAATTACACTACACACAATTACACTACACACAATTACACTACACACAATTATACACGCAATTACACAACACGCAATTACACTACACGCAATTACACAACACGCAATTACACTACACGCAATTACACTACACACAATTACACTACACGCAATTACACAACACACAATTACACTACACGCAATTATACACGCAATTACACAACACGCAATTACACTACACACAATTACACTACACGCAATTATACACACAATTACACTACACACAATTACACTACACACAATTACACTACACACAATTACACAAAACGCAATTACACTACACACAATTACACTACACACAATTATACTACACGCAATTACACTACACGCAATTACACTACACACAATTACACAACACGCAATTATACTACACACAATTACACTACACGCAATTACACTACACACAATTATACACACAATTACACTACACACAATTACACTACACACAATTACACTACACACAATTACACAACACACAATTACACTACACTACACACAATTACACTACACTACACACAATTACACTACACACAATTACACTACACACAATTACACTACACTACACACAATTACACTACACTACACACAATTACACTACACACAATTACACTACACGCAATTATACACACAATTACACTACACGCAATTACACTACACACAATTACACTACACGCAATTATACACACAATTGCACTACACACAATTACACTACACACAATTACACTACACTACACACAATTACACTACACGCAATTACACTACACACAATTACACTACACACAATTACACTACACGCAATTATACACACAATTGCACTACACACAATTATACACACAATTACACTACACACAATTACACTACACACAATTACACTACACGCAATTACACTACACAACACACAATTACATTACACACAATTACACTACACACATTACACTACACACAATTACACTACACAACACACAATTACACAATTACACTACACAACACACAATTACACAATTACACTACACACAATTGCACTACACACAATTACACTACACGCAATTATACACACAATTACACTACACACAATTACACTACACACAATTACACTACACGCAATTATACACACAATTGCACTACACACAATTACACTACACACAATTACACTACACACAATTACACAATTACACTACACAACACACAATTACACAATTACACTACACAACACACAATTACACTACACACAATTACACTACACACAATTACACTACACAACACAGAATTACACAATTACACTACACAACACACAATTACATTACACACAATTACACTACACACAATTACACTACACACAATTACACTACACAACACACAATTACACTACACAACACACAATTACACTACACACAATTACACTACACACAATTACACTACACAACACACAATTACACAATTACACTACACACAGAATCAGAATCATTTTTATTGCCACGTAAGTAACAGGAGGTCACAGACTTGGAAATTGCTTTGGCTCAGTGCAACAGTCAGAAAGAGATAATAAAAATAAGAATAAAAAACACTTTTAAGGAATAAATGTAAATTTAAAATAGAGTTACAGTTACTATTTACAATATCCAAGTGCACATGGTGCACACAATGTAAGGTGACAGCAGTACAGTGAAGCAAAGTGACGTATGATGGGCAGTAAAGTGACTTTATAAAGGGCGGGGACAGGTTAAGAAGTGTTCAAGAGTCCAACAGCAGAGGGGAAGAAACTGTTCTTGTGGCGGGAGGTTCTAGTCCTGATGGACCGCAGCCTCCTGCCTGAGGGGAGTGGTTGGAATAGTCCATGTGCAGGTGAGAGGGGAGTGGTTGGAATAGTCCATGTGCAGGTGAGAGGGGAGTGGTTGGAATAGTCCATGTGCAGGTGAGAGGGGTCGGCTGTGATACGACCAGCCCGGCCTCGAGCTCGGGCGACGTACAGGTCCTGCAGCGATGGAAGGCTGCGGCCGATCACTTCCTCTGCAGAGCGCACAATGCACTGTAGTCTCTGTTTGTCCCTGACTGTGGCTCCAGCGAACCACACGGTGACGGAGGAGGTGATGGAGGAGGTGATGGAGGAGGTGATGGAGGAGGTGATGGAGGAGGTGATGCAGGAGGTGATGGAGGAGGGGATGGAGGAGGTGATGGAGGAGGCGATGGAGGAGGTGATGGAGGAGGCGATGGAGGAGGTGATGGAGGAGGCGATGGAGGAGGCGATGAGGAGGTGATGGAGGAGGTGATGGAGGAGGTGACGGAGGAGGTGATGGAGGAGGAGATGGAGGAGGTGATGGAGGAGGTGATGAGGAGGTGATGGAGGAGGTGATGGAGGAGGTGACGGAGGAGGTGATGGAGGAGGTGACGGAGGAGGCGACGGAGGAGGTGATGGAGGAGGCGATGGAGGAGGCGATGAGGAGGTGATGGAGGAGGTGATGGAGGAGGTGACGGAGGAGGTGATGGAGGAGGTGCTGGAGGAGGTGATGAGGAGGTGATGGAGGAGGTGATGGAGGAGGTGACGGAGGAGGTGATGGAGGAGGTGACGGAGGAGGCGATGGAGGAGGTGATGGAGGAGGCGATGGAGGAGGCGATGAGGAGGTGATGGAGGAGGTGATGGAAGAGGTGACGGAGGAGGCGATGGAGGAGGTGATGGAGGAGGCGATGGAGGAGGCGATGAGGAGGTGATGGAGGAGGTGATGGAGGAGGTGATGGAGGAGGCGATGAGGAGGTGATGGAGGAGGTGACGGAGGAGGTGATGGAGGAGGCGATGGAGGAGGCGATGAGGAGGTGATGGAGGAGGGTGATGGAGGAGGTGACGGAGGAGGCGATGGAGGAGGTGATGGAGGAGGTGATGGAGGAGGCGATGGAGGAGGCGATGAGGAGGTGATGGAGGAGGTGATGGAGGAGGTGATGGAGGAGGCGATGAGGAGGTGATGGAGGAGGTGATGGAGGAGGTGACGGAGGAGGTGATGGAGGAGGTGATGGTGGAGGTGATGGAGGAGGTGATGGTGGAGGTGATGGTGGAGGTGATGGAGGAGGTGATGGAGGAGGTGATGGAGGAGGTGATGGAGGAGGAGATGGAGGAGGTGATGGAGGAGGTGATGAGGAGGTGATGGAGGAGGTGATGGAGGAGGTGAGGATGGACTCGATGATGGCCGTGTAGAACTGCAGCTTGGCTTTCCTGAGCTGCCGCAGGAAGTACATCCTCTGCTGGGCCTTCTTGATGAGGAGCTGATGGTCGGCTCCCACTTGAGGTCCTGGGTGATGGTGGTGCCCAGGAAACGGAAGGACTCCACAGAGGTGATGGGGGAGTCCATCACGGAGGGTGGGGGCGGGGGGACAGTGCTCTTCCTGAAGTCCACAATCATCTCCACTGTCTTCTGGGCGTTCAGCTCCAGGTTGTTACCACTGCACCAGGACACCAGCCGGTCCACCTCCCTCCTGTAGGAGACACCAGGACACCAGCCGGTCCACCTCCCTCCTGTAGGAGACACCAGGACACCAGCCGGTCCACCTCCCTCCTGTAGGAGACACCAGGACACCAGCCGGTCCACCTCCCTCCTGTAGGAGACACCAGGACACCAGCCGGTCCACCTCCTCCTGTAGGAGACACCAGGACACCAGCCGGTCCACCTCCTCCTGTAGGAGACACCAGGACACCAGCCGGTCCACCTCCCTCCTGTCGGAGACACCAGGACACCAGCCGGTCCACCTCCCTCCTGTAGGAGACACCAGGACACCAGCCGGTCCACCTCCCTCCTGTAGGAGACACCAGGACACCAGCCGGTCCACCTCCCTCCTGTAGGAGACACCAGGACACCAGCCGGTCCACCTCCCTCCTGTAGGCGACACCAGGACACCAGCCGGTCCACCTCCCTCCTGTAGGAGACACCAGGACACCAGCCGGTCCACCTCCCTCCTGTAGGAGACACCAGGACACCAGCCGGTCCACCTCCCTCCTGTAGGAGACACCAGGACACCAGCCGGTCCACCTCCCTCCTGTAGGAGACACCAGGACACCAGCCGGTCCACCTCCCTCCTGTAGGAGACACCAGGACACCAGCCGGTCCACCTCCCTCCTGTAGGAGACACCAGGACACCAGCCGGTCCACCTCCCTCCTGTAGGAGACACCAGGACACCAGCCGGTCCACCTCCTCCTGTAGGAGACACCAGGACACCTCCCTCCTGTAGGAGACACCAGGACACCAGCCGGTCCACCTCCCTCCGGTAGGAGACACCAGGACACCAGCCGGTCCACCTCCCTCCTGTAGGAGACACCAGGACACCAGCCGGTCCACCTCCCTCCTGTAGGAGACACCAGGACACCAGCCGGTCCACCTCCCTCCTGTAGGAGACACCAGGACACCAGCCGGTCCACCTCCCTCCTGTAGGAGACACCAGGACACCAGCCGGTCCACCTCCTGTAGGAGAACCAGGACACCAGCCGGTCCACCTCCCTCCTGTAGGAGACACCAGGACACCAGCCGGTCCACCTCCCTCCTGTAGGAGACACCAGGACACCAGCCGGTCCACCTCCCTCCTGTAGGAGACACCAGGACACCAGCCGGTCCACCTCCCTCCTGTAGGAGACACCAGGACACCAGCCGGTCCACCTCCCTCCTGTAGGAGACACCAGGACACCAGCCGGTCCACCTCCCTCCTGTAGGAGACACCAGGACACCAGCCGGTCCACCTCCCTCCTGTAGGCGGACTCATCGTTGTTGGAGATGAGTCCAATGAGGGTGGTGTCGTCCGTGAACTTGATCAGCTTCACGGAGTCGTGGCTGGAGGTGCAGTGGTTGGTGTACAGGGAGAAGAGCAGGGGAGAAAGAACACAGCCCTGTGGGGCTCCTGTATTTATAATCCCAGAGTCCGAGACATTCTTCCCCAGACGCACTCGCTGCTTCCTGTCCGTCAGGAAGTCAGTGATCCACCTGCAGGTGGAATCGGGCACGTTGAGCTGGGAGAGCTTGTCCTGGAGCAGGGATGGCAGGATTGTGTTGAAGGCAGAGCTGAAGTCCACGAACAGGACCCTGGCGTAGGTCCCCGGGGAGTCCAGGTGCTGTAGGATGTGGTGGAGGGCCAGGTTAATGGCGTCGTCTACAGATCTGTTGGCTCTGTAGGCGACCTGCAGGGGGTCCAGGAGGGGGGAGGTGAGGGACTTGAGATGGGAGAGAACCAGGCGTTCAAATGACTTCATGACGACAGACGTAAGTGCTACAGGTCTGTAGTCGTTGAGTCCTGTGATCCTGGGCTTCTTCGGGACGGGGACAATGATGGAGGATTTGAAGCGGGACATGGCAGGACTGCAGAGAGGTGTTGAAAATGTCCGTGAACACAGGAGTAAGCTCACTGGGGCAGTGTCTCAGAGTGGCCGGAGACACGTGGTCCGGGCCAGGAGCTTTGCGGGGGTGCAGCCTCAGGAAGAGTTGTTTAATCTCTTTAGAGGCTATTGTTAGGCTGGGGGCAGGGCTGATGGGTGGGTCGTTAGAGTAGTGGGGGGTGGGGGAGGTGTCAGGGGCAGCATCAAAGCGACTGAAAAATAAGTTCAGATCGTCAGCTAGCTTGTGGTCATCAGCACAGGGGGGGGCTTTGGGTTTGTAGTTGGTGATCTCCCGTAGGCCCCTCCAGACAGAAGCAGTATCGTTGTTACCAAACTGCTCCTGTAGTCGTTCTCTGTGCCGGGACTTGGCTGCTTTCAGTTCTTTCCTGAACTGATATTTAGCTGCTTTGTAGCCGCTGCGGTCCCCCTCCCTGAAAGCAGACTCCTTTGCTTTCCTGAGCTGCCGGAGTTTGTATGTTACACTGAAAGATCCCTCAGACAGACCTAAGCAGGGCAGGGCCTGGTTAGTGCTGTGATGGGAGACCTCTGGGAACACCAGGTGCCACAGTGGGGCGGCTGTAAACTGCCAAACTGTGGTTGTGTCCTTAGGCAAGACACTTCCCCCACATTAGAATGAGTCACGTGTGTGTCACAGAGTCATGTGTGTGTCACAGAGCCATGTGTGTGTCACAGAGTCATGTGTGTGTCAGTCATGTGTGTGTCACAGAGCCATGTGTGTGTCAGTCATGTGTGTCATAGAGTCATGTGTGTGTGTCACAGAGTCATGTGTGTGTGTCACAGAGTCATGTGTGTGTCACAGAGCCATGTGTGTGTCACAGAGTCATGTGTGTGTCAGTCATGTGTGTGTCACAGAGCCATGTGTGTGTCAGTCATGTGTGTCATAGAGTCATGTGTGTGTGTCACAGAGTCATGTGTGTGTGTCACAGAGTCATGTGTGTGTCACAGAGTCATGTGTGTGTCACAGAGTCATGTGTGTGTCACAGAGTCATGTGTGTGTCACAGAGCCATGTGTGTGTCACAGAGCCATGTGTGTGTCACAGAGCCATGTGTGTGTGTTGTGTGTTGCAGGCCTTCGGCTTCATGTCCCGTGTGGCTCTTCAGGCCGAGAAGATGAACCATCATCCAGAGTGGGTCAATGTTTATAACAAGGTAAAAAACAACACAATGTTTTTATCACAATGGAAATTACATCATGTCTATGTGTGTGTGTCTTTGTGTGTGTCTGTGTGTGTCCATGTGTGTATGTGTGTGTGTGTGTCTGTGTCTGTGTGTTGCAGGTGCAGGTCACTCTGACAACTCATGACTGTGGAGGTCTTTCTCAGAGAGACGTCAAAATGGCCAAATTTATCGACAAAATTACACTTTCAGATTAAAGATGTTTTATTCTTTCTCAGATTGTGTTTGTTTCCTTCTTAAACATCGTCCTCAGAACCAGGACTGAGGCTGTAGAACCAGGACTGAGGCTGTAGAACCAGGACTGAGGCTGTAGACCCAGGACTGAGGCTGTAGACCCAGGACTCTGCAGGAGAGAAAACATGACGAATGCATTCTATTATCAAAGCTGTAAACTCTGTGGACTGCATTTCCCAGGATGCTTTGCTGCAGCTGCCTGTTCCCAGGATGCTTTGCTGCAGCTGCCTTGGGTGGTTTCTGTGTCATGGACAGAAGCTGAGAATCCACTTACTCTAATTGTCTCAAAACAAACTCTGCTGCTCACTTCTGCTGAGGGGGAGACGAAGGGGAGACCAGGGGGAGACGAAGGGGAGATGAGGGGAAGACGAAGGGGAGACCAGGGGGAGACGAAGGGGAGACCAGGGGAAGACGAAGGGGAGACCAGGGGAAGACGAAGGGGAGACCAGGGTCAGACCACGGGGAGACGGAGGGGGAGACGGAGGGAGAGGTGAGGGTGAGATAACAGAGATAATCCCATAATCACTGTGTTTCTGAGGCCTGTCACGCTCACACCACTGATGTGTAATTACACACACACAGACACACACACACTCATGCTGACACACACACACACACACACAGATGCACGCACACACACAGACATACGAGAGGGGGGCACGGTGGCTGAGTGGTTAGCACTCTCGCCTCTCAGCAAGAAGGTCGTGGGTTCGAATCCCGTTCGAACCAGGGCTTTTCTGAGTGGAGTTTGCATGTTCTCCCCGTGTCTGCGTAGGTTTCCTCCGGGTACTCCGGCTTCCCTTACCACTAAGATATGTACAATAGGTCTGTGCCTCCTGTTCGGCGACCCTGCTCCTGTCTCTGTGTGGAGTGAGAGACTAATGCCCAAAAATAACAATTGTAAACCGCTTTGTGGTCTGTGAGAGGCGGTATATAAATAAAGATTACTTACTTACATACATACACATTCATGCTGACACACACAGAGACACACACACATACACACAGATCATCAGAATAACAGGTAAATATAATATACCATAACAATAATAATGACAGATAAATGCAGCCCAGTTTATTTGTGTGGCACAGATTTTAAAAAGTTTGTTTTCCATCGTTTACAATCTTCATGTTTGTTTTCAGCAGTGAGAGCGTTTGCTCAGAGTCCACTTTATTTGTGTAAAACACTGCGGAGAAAAGAGACGTCCCATTTTATTTTCACTTCGTCAAATATTTCACTCCAGTGAAAATTGTGCCAAATGTAAAATGTGTTTCTCACTGAATAATCCAAAGAATAATCCAGAGCCATCTCTAATCTGAGAGAGGTTAGAGAATCACTAACATTATCTCTTCGAGACACTTCTTTAGCACCAGCAGCGTCAATATTGACTCAGATAAAGACGTAGAACTTTGGCCTCGAGTCGAGAGGGAGGGGGGGAGGAGAGAGGTGGGGGGGGAGGAGAGAGGTGGGGGGGAAGGGGGGTGGGGGGGGTTGAAATTTGAGGCCCAAGGACACAGCGGCAGCACCAGGTCAGGCCGAGGACCATTACAGAGGAAACTCCAGCTCGCCTTAGTAACTGTTAGTAACTGTGTTAATAACTGTTAGTAACTGTGTTAATAACTGTGTTAGTAACTGTGTTAATAACTGTGTTAGTAACTGTTAATAACTGTGTTAGTAACTGTTAGTAACTGTGTTAGTAAGTGTTAGTAACTGTGTTAATAACTGTGTTAGTAACTGTGTTAATAACTGTGTTAGTAACTGTTAATAACTGTGTTAGTAACTGTGTTAGTAACTGTGTTAGTAACTGTGTTAGTAACTGTGTTAGTAACTGTGTTAGTAACTGTTAGTAACTGTGTTAGTAACTGTGTTAGTAACTGTTAATAACTGTTAATAACTGTTAATAACTGTTAGTAACTGTGTTAGTAACTGTGTTAGTAACTGTGTTAGTAACTGTTAGTAACTGTGTTAGTAACTGTGTTAGTAACTGTGTTAGTAACTGTTAGTAACTGTGTTAGTAACTGTGTTAGTAACTGTGTTAACTGTTAGTAACTGTGTTAGTAACTGTGTTAGTAACTGTGTTAGTAACTGTGTTAACTGTTAATAACTGTGTTAATAACTGTTAGTAACTGTGTTAGTAACTGTCAATAACTGTGTTAGTAACTGTTAGTAACTGTGTTAGTAACTGTGTTGGTAACTGTTAGTAACTGTTGGTACTGTGTTAGTAACTGTTAGTAACTGTGTTAGTAACTGTTAGTAACTGTGTTAGTAACTGTTAGTAACTGTGTTAGTAACTGTTAGTAACTGTGTTAGTAACTGTTAGTAACTGTGTTAGTAACTGTTAGTAACTGTGTTAGTAACTGTGTTAGTAACTGTGTTAGTAACTGTTAGTAACTGTGTTAGTAACTGTGTTAGTAACTGTGTTAATAACTGTTAGTAACTGTGTTAGTAACTGTGTTAATAACTGTTAATAACTGTTAGTAACTGTTAGTAACTGTTAGTAACTGTCTTAGTAACTGTGTTAGTAACTGTTAGTAACTGTGTTAGTAACTGTGTTGGTAACTGTTAGTAACTGTTGGTACTGTGTTAGTAACTGTTAGTAACTGTGTTAGTAACTGTGTTAGTAACTGTGTTAGTAACTGTTAGTAACTGTGTTAGTAACTGTTAGTAACTGTTAGTAACTGTGTTAGTAACTGTGTTAGTAACTGTGTTAATAACTGTTAGTAACTGTGTTAGTAACTGTGTTAGTAACTGTGTTAATAACTGTTAATAACTGTTAATAACTGTTAGTAACTGTATTAGTAACTGTGTTAGTAACTGTGTTAGTAACTGTGTTAGTAACTGTTAATAACTGTTAGTAACCGTGTTAGTAACTGTGTTAGTAACTGTGTTAGTAACTGTGTTAGTAACTGTTAATAACTGTTAATAACTGTTAATAACTGTTAGTAACTGTGTTAGTAACTGTGTTAGTAACTGTGTTAGTAACTGTTAGTAACTGTGTTAGTAACTGTGTTAGTAACTGTGTTAGTAACTGTGTTAGTAACTGTGTTAGTAACTGTGTTAGTAACTGTGTTAATAACTGTTAGTAACTGTGTTAGTAACTGTGTTAGTAACTGCGTTAATAACTGTTAATAACTGTTAATAATTGTGTTAATAACTGTTAGTAACTGTGTTAGTAACTGTCAATAACTGTGTTAGTAACTGTTAGTAACTGTGTTAGTAACTGTGTTGGTAACTGTTAGTAACTGTGTTGGTACTGTGTTAGTAACTGTTAGTAACTGTGTTAGTAACTGTTAGTAACTGTGTTAGTAACTGTTAGTAACTGTGTTAGTAACTGTTAGTAACTGTGTTAGTAACTGTTAGTAACTGTTAGTGACTGTGTTAGTAACCGTGTTAGTAACTGTGTTAGTAACCGTGTTAGTAACTGTGTTAGTAACCGTGTTAGTAACCGTGTTAGTAACTGTTAGTAACTGTTAGTAACTGTGTTAGTAACTGTTAGTAACTGTTAGTAACTGTGTTAGTAACTGTGTTAGTAACTGTGTTAGTAACTGTTAGTAACTGTGTTAGTAACTGTGTTAGTAACTGTGTTAGTAACTGTTAGTAACTGTGTTAGTAACTGTGTTAGTAACTGTGTTAGTAACCGTGTTAGTAACCGTGTTAGTAACCGTGTTAGTAACCGTGTTAGTAACCGTGTTAGTAACCTGTTAGTAACTGTTAGTAACTGTGTTAGTAACTGTGTTAGTAACTGTGTTAGTAACTGTGTTAGTAACTGTTAGTAACTGTTAGTAACTGTGTTAGTAACTGTTAGTAACTGTGTTAGTAACTGTTAGTAACTGTTAGTAACTGTGTTAGTAACTGTTAGTAACTGTGTTAGTAACTGTTAGTAACTGTTAGTAACTGTGTTAGTAACTGTTAGTAACTGTGTTAGTAACTGTGTTAGTAACTGTTAGTAACTGTTAGTAACTGTGTTAGTAACCGTGTTAGTAACTGTTAGTAACTGTGTTAGTAACCGTGTTAGTAACCGTGTTAGTAACCGTGTTAGTAACTGTGTCCTCATTCTGAGCCTTTTCTGAGTGGAGTTTGCATGTTCTCCCCGTGTCTGCGTAGGTTTCCTCCGGGTGCTCCGGTTTCCCCTACCACTAAAAACATGCACAATAGGTCTTGGTCTTGGGTTTTACTGCAAATGGCAAATAAATGAATCTGAATCTGAACATTGTAAAGTGCTTTGGGTCTGTAGAATGTGCTATATAAATAAACTACTTACTTACACATCAAATAAAAAAACCACAGAGAAGGCCCTGTGCTCTGGGTTTAGGACCACAGAGAAGGCCCTGTGCTCTGGGTTTAGGACCACAGAGAAGGCCCTGTGCTCTGGGTTTTGGACCACAGAGAAGGCCCTGTGCTCTGGGTTTTGGACCACAGAGAAGGCCATGTGCTCTGGGTTTTGGACCACAGAGAAGGCCCTGTGCTCTGGGTTTTGGACCACAGAGAAGGCCCTGTGCTCTGGGTTTTGGACCACAGAGAAGTCCCTGTGCTCTGGGTTTAAGACCACAGAGAAGTCCCTGTGCTCTGGGTTTAAGACCACAGAGAAGTCCCTGTGCTCTGGGTTTAAGACCACAGAGAAGGCCCTGTGCTCTGGGTTTAAGACCACAGAGAAGGCCCTGTGCTCTGGGTTTAAGACCACAGAGAAGGCCTTGTGCTCTGGGTTTAAGACCATAGAGCAGGTCAGAACTTGTTGTGAACAAAGTTTGAAGAAGACATTTTTCTGGAGTGAGCTCTGGGTTTGAACAGGAGCAGATGGAATGTTAGAGCTTTACTTTTTACTCTGTAGAAACACACAGTAAGTAAAGTATCTAAGTATAAAAGTGTATCTAAGTATTTAAGTATAAAAGTAAAGTCTGCAGTTGTTAAACTCTAACATCATGTTTCTGTTTCAACCTCATCTTTAACAAAAGAAACAAAACT